CAAATTCATGGTTCAGGATGCATTTCCAATCTGTTTCTTGTGTTTTTTCAGAATGAAGGTAATCAAACTATAGAATAAATAGAAAACACATAGGAAAAGCACATTAGGCCCAATTTTCATCTGTTCATTTCATGTTTTACCGTCAATTCTGGGTAGACCAAACATCGCCTCAGCAACCACGTCCAGTCTCCAATGCCAACAGCAGCTGCACGTCCCATGAAACGGCTCACATAGGGGCTAAAACCTGACAGAGCCAGCGCCACCTTTGGTCAACTCCCAATCTGCAAATATTGGATCTCACTATAGGAGAAAACCACACCTGCAATTATACCTTCCTGGGTTGATCTGACAACCTCGCTCTTCAGGGCAGGTTTCACGTGGTGAGTTCTGACGGGGAGGGTTGAAACGGTACTCAACAACCTTCATGGTCTGTCTGCCATTCCTGAAATCCTCTCGTTTCCGCCTTGCACACGCCAGCACCCAAGTTAGTGCCCCCAATGGATTGACACGTTCCAGCACCGGAGGGAACGATGTGGATTCATCATGCCCCCCAAAAACACCTTTTGAACTGCACACCTGCGAGACCTGAAGCATCACAGCGAGAGAAAAGACCTTCCGTTTGCCCACACATTCCCTGAACCTCCCTCAACTTCGATAGCTTCAGCTAGCACCTCCACCACTTCGGACTTTCTAAGGAACCGGGAAAGAACGACCCTGTCCCGGGACCCACACAGCGGCCGGAACGGCGCCAGTCTTAGACCACCGGTCCGGTCCGGACGAGCGTCCGGTGCCCGACACCTCCATCTGCAGTCCCCGCCACGTGGCCCGTGTGCCATGCTCGCGTAGACCAGGCGCAGCCCTTTCCACCGCGCCGCCGTGGCGTCGGCGGCGCGGCGCAGGGGCGGAAGAGCGACGTGCAGGTCCTGCCTGGGAGGACGTGCCCAGCCAAATGGTCCAGATCGAATCATCGGATCGGATGGCCAAACGCGAGCAATGCGACTAGGTTGCCTACATGGAGACCCCTCAAACACCCCCAAATGCAGGTAGCAGGTAGTACCAGTCGCAGAAGTGCCGGTGGCCCGACGTGAGTCAGACCAGGGATGGAAGGCATTGGGTGTGACATTTGTGACATGAATCTGTCGGGAAATCCCGGAATGTGGAAGTGGGTGGGACATGAAACTCGGATCAAAAGTATCGACTCCCTCGAAGTTCCGAAGGACAGTAGATTCCATTGGACAATTCCCCCCCTAAAGGACCACAGATTGGACTAGCAGCAAACCTTGGAGGTTTGTCTCAGGGAACCCGCAAAGAATTGTTGGTTCGAACCTGGCGGGATTGCAAAAGATCCTTCTTCACTCTCAGAACATGTTCCTACAGTTGATACAAGTTCGTCTACCTCAAGACGGTTTCATAGAAAACTAAGAGATTGGTTTCTGCACCAAGTTCAGCCTCCACTCCAAACCCCCTTCCCCGCCATGATTGAAATCATTTCCATCATAACAGCGAGGCACATGCTGCGGGAGACTTCGGCTTCAGGGTATTTTAGCAGCTCGCCAGGCAAGAAATCCAAATCAAAGCCGTGCCGCCTGCGGGTTGGTCGCACGTTCCGTGGCGATGGCTGAACCACAATCCACTGGGAGGATGGTTCACTGAGAAAAACATACGCTAATCTTTGGGGGTTTGAGCTCCCATTTTTGCGAGGTATGGAAACACGGAGAACAACATAGAAAAACACAGCGAACAAAAATGGTAGTGTATCTTGCAAGATAAGTCCTTCGTTCACACTGGTCCAACACCAGTAAAAAGAGTTGTTAAACAATTAAAGATACCCCCAACGACGTATTTACCTTCCAATCGCCACCCTTTTCCCTGGTTCTGGGATGTTTGGCGATTCGGGTGGTTTTCTGCAATATGATGGTCCAACCGTATTGATTTGATCCTTCCCAGAAGGCGGAAAGCGCCAAAGACTTCCGGGGGAATTCAGATCGAGTGGTTTCCCCATCAAAGATGCCAAAAAATCCTACTGATTCCTCCAACAAACATGCTTTAGTGAAAGAGGCACAGCGTCCACATGTTCCAAAGATATCCAAAGATCCACAGTACCGTTTCATTACCAGGTCCCCATGATGTCTCCACCTGCTGAAATTAAACAACAAAAAAACACATGCCGCATGCCATGGAACTGTGCAGCATGCCTCTCTCACAACAACAACAACAGCAACAACAACAACAACAAGGTACAAACAAAAACTGCAACCCCGTTACACCACATCTTCTTTCTTTTTCTCTACAAGGGGTAGAAACAAATTCTGCAACCCCGTCGTTGTTTTTTGACCCCCCCCAAAACAACCGGACAACAAGCACTTTACTGCTACTACTACTAGTGGTACTAGTGCTACTACTACTAGTGGTAGACACCCCCCACCCCGGGACGTGTGGACAGTGCGCGGGGCGTGTGCGGAGGCGGAGGGGGTGGAAACCCGGTCCTCAATCTATGCACTGAAAATCAGTCTTTTCTTGGAGACTCCTGGAAGTTTTTTGGATTCCAATGGAACAATATGGTCGATTTAAACGCCTTCTTAGGGTCTATGAAACTCCTCTGAGGGTCATGCTACTGGTGATGCTTATTGTAACTGGTTAAGTAAACCCTGTAAAACTTCTACTTAGAACCTCTACCACATCCTAGAAACAAAAACTGCAACCCCGTGGTTGTTTTTTGGACCCCCCCCTTCCAAAAGATGTTGTCTCTACCCCCCCCTAGAAACAAAATCTGCAACCCCGTTGTTGTTTTTTGACCCCCCCCCTCCCCAAAACAACACAACAAAAAACAAGAAGCAGACCAACCAAGTACCACAACGACAAGAAGTCCAGCTACTAACATCTCTCCAAACCTTCGACCCTATCCCTAACAGAATCCCATTGAAATCCCTGACTTGCAACATGTGACAACTATCTTGGGCGGCTGTTTTTGTCTCTACCAACAACAACAACAACAACAACAACATGCTACCGCCATACTGTAGTAATCTGTAGTATATGTGTTGCGCCGAACAGCGACCGAGCAGCGGTCCCAACCGATCCTCCTCACAGCCTCAGCTAGCTGCAGTGTGGCCCTGCCTCACGACCCTCGAGACATGACCAAGGAGCCGGATGATGGGCCAACCACTGGCTGCCACATCCTGGCCACGTCTGGGGATGAAGAGGAAGACATGCACAAAGTGGTGCCACCCCCTTGACTCAAACAACGAATCAAGCTGAATGTTTTTTGGAATCCCATGGAAGACCCTGCGCGACCCTGCGCATCCCCCCAGCTATGCTTTCTCAATGTGAATAAGAGCATCTGATGAGAAGAACAAGATCTCGGCGCCCGCAGGGAGATGTGTTCCGAGCTCGCCGAATGGGAGGTCTTACCCATGGCTTCTCACCCAAAAGACACGAGGTTCTGTGAGATTTGTTTCTTGCATATTGTTTCGTTTTCATCTTTTTACATGCAACAACTGCCCATCTCAGTGTGGAGACCCCAAGACCGAAACACGAAAACACGACACCGCCGCTTTTCAGGTCGACGTCCACGACCATCGCAACACACGTGGTGTTCGCTGCTTCGCCGCTGCTGGTCGAGGCTCGGGCAAGGGAATCTCTTCCAACACGGCGCCCATCATCTGCTCATGAGCTCGAAAGCAAATGGACTCCTAAGATCTCGGATCGAGGACGGCGCCGGAGGTGGATCTGAGATACAGGTTGAAAGCGGAAGCTTTTTTCAGGGGTGTGGTGTGGCTCAGTCGACGAAAGCTACGAGGCATCTGGAGATCTCTGCTGCGCTCCGTTCGTCCGTCCTTCGTCACATCGCAGCGACCGGAGCGATGTCGGGACCCGATGGGTGGGATTTCACACTCACGTCCGATAGGATTCGAGATCGAAGAACACAACTTGTACAGCATGGACCGCTGGACCATGGCTATGATGCCTTCATATGCCTTACATGCCATGGCCGCCTTGGTGACCCTTGCAGTGTATGACATGTACTTTCCAGATGTCACTGAGAGTGATGGTTTCGGATTTTCCTCAGTTTTGCACTACAATCGCAGTTTCCGCCGGAGTAATTGACAGAGTGTAAGGTAGATGCTGTTTGTGCACCAAAAGACCACCAGTCGTTGGGCGGCCGCAGTCCCATGGGTCGCGGGAAGTGAAACACAAGCAGTCTGGACAGGACTGGCATGCCCGGAGTCTGGAATCCGGTTTAATCAGGGACCCAACACATACCGACTGTTCACCTGAACAGGTGAACAAAACAAGGATGGATGTCTTTCTGAACAGAACGTGCGGCGTACATGGTACGTGGTTTCACAACAAGAATGTCAGCCGTGGTACGTGGAGTCGATGAAATGCCACCAGGAGGCGGTGTGCGAACACAGCATGGCCTGGCTGGGAGAGGAGTGCCGAACTCGTGAAGTGCCGAACTCGTTCTGCCCACAAAAAACTTGAAAGCACTGCGGTTCTTCAAAGCTGTTGGGAAAAGCGAAGAGTCAGTTGTGTAGATCATGGTATAGATCCCTTTTCAACAACAAAACCCAAGATCTCAAAGGTTGTCTTATTTCTGAATCTTATGGGAACAAGTCCCCACAGAAAAATGCTGCTTTGATCCATAAATCTATAGTTATGTCCTCCAAAAGAACGCCCCTCTGTGGCCGGTGGCACCACCTCTGCAGGATACTGTACTTTCAGATGCATTGCCATTCCTCTTGCGCTAGCCGCTAGTTCTGACGGATGTCATATCTGGCTGTGCATCACCCTTCATGGATGTTCATTGAACATTCCACAAACAAGGGTGCCATCCCCCCCAAGACTGCACACCAGGTAATGACTTGAAAATGAATGTCATTTGCTCCTCCGCAACACTCAAACTAGGCCGAAACCAATAAAATATCTAAATAAACGCGTGAATCAATGAATTGAAATGATCCAGGAAGCACACAAATGGATCACCTTGAATCTGAGTGTTCAAAAGGACCAAGCTTACAAAACCAAATCCTCACCCGCCCCCTCCATCAAACCTCGAATCCATCCCATCCACCCCTTCTTTCCCCCACCCCACCCATCTGACCCCCATCTCGCGTCGTTCAACATAATTCAATCCATCCCACTGTCTCACCTTGATTAAGTTCGCGGCAGCGAAGCCCAGAGGACACTCCAGGGCGGCGGAACGCCACTGCTGCGCCAGTTCGGGGCCGTAGGCCACATCCACCGCCGGCTGATACCAGTCCTCCGATTGGCCCCATCGCTCCGGTTGAATGCAGATGTGCCACACCCAGGGTTTGGAGGCCGAACCTGATGGAAAATGGACCAGACTGGAAGAGGATGTTCCTCTACAACCGAGTGGTTTGCAGGTTCCATGTTCATTTTCCAGCGTGTATTCGGGTGTATATAAGTCATTATAAGTCAAATAATCCATGCAACACATTGTGAAGCAGCAAATAAGTCATATAAGTCATTACAAGTCCAAGAATCCATACAACAGTATGATTACAAAGCAAATGTGGGCAGCAAACGTAGGTTCATGGCTGTGGGACCCCAGGGCAGCTCGCCAGTCGACTCATGTCGACACATGTCGTGAGAAGGAACTGGTTCAAGATGCGTCGACTCACGGAACAAGCAACATCAAACCACCCACAACCATCATCAACCCATCAACCATCTATATATATATATATAGTAGATGTCGACATCTATACCACTCTGGCATGTGTTCGGAGTGATGTTGCGTGCCAGATCGACTATCCCATTACCATCGTCCCAGTGTCTTAACCTGCCGTTCGTAATCGATCCAGCCGGACCAAGACTAAGACTTCAAAGACTGGGTCTCCTCTTGGTCAAAGAGGCGCTTGAAATAGCTCCAGTTCAGAATACCTTCCAGGCCACGGCAGGATCAACTTGGAAGAAGCTGTGATTTCACAATTGGTCCCGTCACCCATTCTGTAGATGGACAGACATCGGATTTCAGTTTGGGCGCGAGTTTTCAGTTTGGCTCACAAGCACCTTATACCTCTCACTGGTCTTCTGAGAAACCGCGGTCGTACGTTATGAATGTCCACAGTGCGTGGGTGGATGCATTTTTCTTTGCTTGTAAGCAAAGTAGAGGCAACTCCAACTTCAACTTGATGAATGAGAGAGAGCAACTGAAATTTCATTCGAGCGCCACACAAAGTTACCTATAAGGACAAAGGACATCCTCAAATGTTGTGCTCCTCTATCAGTTTACAATGCTCGTTGGAGGGTGTCGGCTTCTTGATCTCCTATTGGCTTTGCAGGGTTCATTCATGAAAAGGTACAAAATTGTATGCGCACAATCTGGTCGAAGGCTCCAACCCTTTTGTTCAACTACTTGTGAGCCAAAAAGTTAGAAGCGGACTACTCGCAGCACCGCACTAATCCTCGGAATCTGACGGACCACATCTCGTTTCAACGATGGCAAAGGTTTTGGATAATTCACAGAAAAATCAAGTTGTTCTTGATCTTTGTAGTTTCCTGCAGATTCTCATTTGGTCAAACAAGGGCACTGCATGCCGTGCTGAACAAAGTGTAGTACAACTCAAGTAGTGGTTGGTGGAGTATCAAATACAAAGCTTTCACCCTGCAAATCTTCCAACTATGTATGATCAAATCATATGGGGCACAACATGGTGCATCAATCAGTTTGTAGAATAAATGTTCTAAAGGTGCCTGCGCTTGCGTTCCGGCGCTTCCCAAGTTTTTGATCAGTTTAGTTGGTGCTGTCTTTATGTCCTCGTGCGCCCTTAGCCTAAGTCTAAACATGCCTAAACCATCTATAAAGTTAGTTGGCGAAGGAGAGAAGGGTCAGAACACTTTGTACCTCCTTGTGTGTTTTTACCCTAAAGCACTTTGTCTCAGTTCCCAGTTAGACCAGACATCACCAAACCGACCAAACCCTGTAGAATCCCAGAGCTGTTCCCTCGTTCCAACATATCACCAGTCCTCAGTCCTTCCAGTTCGCAATATCACCACTTCTGAGCCTTGACATTGCTCCCAGTGGCTCATCGAATCCGTCTCCTCACAGGTCAGCTTGGGGTTCGTGGCACCTGGAAGACGTTCCCACACATCGGAATGCAGGGCTTGGTAGATCCTGAGAAGACGAATGGCGGAGGGGAGTACGTTATCACGATTTGGTGGAGGAGTACGTTGTCACCAAATGTAAGTTGTGGATTTGAACGGAAGTTGTCACCGGGCTCGGATTTAATTTAGTTTTTTTGTTTTGTTTTGGGATTTTTTTTGTTTTTCGTGTTTCGTGGCAGGTGCAGTACTTTGTGGACCTTGAAATGCTACTTTGTGGACCTTGAAATGCACATTTCGTGGCAGACGCAGGACTTTGTCGATGTTGAAGTGCAGATTTCGTGGCAGGCGCAGGACTTTGTGGATGTTGAAGTGCAGATTTGGTGGCAGGTGCAGGACTTTGTGGGACTTGGAGTGCAGATTTCGTGGCAGGCGCAGGACTTTGTAGACCTTGAAATGCAGTACTTTGTGGACCTTGAAATGCACATTTCGTGGCAGGCGCAGG